AGCTGCAGAAGTGGATAAGTCAGTGGTCAATGAGGGAAATCAACATCAGAAAATGAACTAATCAAAATATCAATGTGACTCTACACGAGAGCAGAAATCCAATCGGACATATTTTCTAGGAAGGATCAGCAGATGAAGATAGCTCCTCGATCAAGGCTGATCAACATCCAAACATTCCTTGCATATATTTCTCTGTCCTCCTCACATCACAATATTTCTGACAATTACCATGCTATTCTTTGTTAGTGTGGCTTCACAGAACACAGCTTACTCACATAAATTCCTGCTTATTACGCACATCAATAATACTCCAGAGCTCTTTGTTGGGTTACCACAAAATAGAGACTGTCATGCGTCAACCGCTTACCAGAGCAGAGACCGGAGGAAGAACTTTGTACGAAGCCAGAAAAGCAATCGCATGTAAAGCTCCAGGAGAATTGGAGCAGGTGGAGTTCATTGGCAGTTATGAATGTCAGAAGTGCATTCATTTATATCTGGATGTTGGAGTGACAATAAACATAAACCAGAGTTGGTAAAGAGCAGATACAGGAACGACGAAAGAAGCAAAGGTCGAGATCATTGACAATAGAACATCATACACCACACACAATACCGCAAGGAAACACAAGGTATCATATCTTAGCGGTGGAGAATTGCTGGGCCATCAGTAACAGTTCATGGCTTTAAGTCCTTGAAGGGACAGTCAATTTTTTCTTCAGACTTTTTCATCTTTAACAACCTCAAATTTTCGAATAGAACAAGACAAAAAAGTGCATCCCTTCATGATCGAGGTTCGATAGCATTATAGGGTATCGGGAACTGGTGCAACAGGTGTGGGCAAAGCCTCACCAATAATAATAGTATCCTGTGATTTTTGAAGCATTGAAATGTGGGACTATGTTAGGACAAAGTGCTAATACATTTTATAGGCCAAGCAATTCCTCGGCGGGATTCGTCCTACAACACCTTTTCAAAGACCAACCATTGTAGAATACCTACTGTCACCCCGACTCTGCATTGGTATAAGGACAAAGGAGACACAGTTATAAATCCCTTTTTGTGGCTTTCAACCACTTTGTGGTTGATATTCTCACCTCTGCCTACTTCAGGACCTGATTATCTGCCATTACCCTTGAGTGTGATTGTGTTTCCATGGATACGGTGACAGACTCTTAAGCAAACAATGATACTTTATACGGTCATCCCCAAACCCAGGTATTGACAGAGTAATTCCTTCGTGCTTGTCTCAAACAAACACAAGATCTTAACAAAAGGGAGACATGCTTTATATCACACTCGAAGGACCACTTTACGCATATACGGATATGGCCCGGTAACAGCTTCTCAACCATCCCCTTACCTTGACATGACGACGACATAGTGTTCCATCCAAGAGAGGAGTTACACGTCAGCGTGCCGTTCCCTTGTAGCACAAATCCGGAATAGCACGTCATGTTGGTCGTA